ACCCAAAATTAATAAAAATATGCCCAGTTTAGGCAATATTCCTTTGCTGCCCTGTTTATTCAGTGCATTCTGATAATCCCTTTGTTTATACCACGACAGGAAATCACTTCACGCTTGAACGCACCACACAGCCACCTGGCTAATTAACATGCCTCAGGCTATCAGGGTATAGGATTTAACTTGAGAAACTGTCCTTTGATTGCATTGATTATGAAGAATTAGCCCAAGACCAAAGACAAATTAACTTGTAAATTATTAACTAATTAAAATCAGGATCGTTTTTTTTTAACCGAAAGTGTCAAAAAACACAAAGATGAACTTGAAGATAAAACGGATATTTTAGCTGAATAAAATAATTACAGTGTACCAACAAACTGAACGTAATGTGATAAAAAGGCTTAAAAAGCATAAAACAATAAACAAAGTTAGTTTCTTTAATTGAACTGATAGATTTGACAAGCTGAGGGTCAATGTTTCTTATTAAAGCCAAAGTTTTTTTTTTTAAACAAAATATACATGGTAATTAAATTTTTGGGGGGAGTAAGAACAGTTTTCACTCGATCTTGTTGGTAAAATATTTTCCAAGTAAAGAGAATGGTGTATTTTTCATGTATTTTTCATGTTTTTTTCAAAATGCCCCTCCCCTGAAAAAAAAAGTGTTTTTCATTTAATGTCTAAATGACTGTGCTAGTACACAAATAAAACAGCCCAAGCAGGTTAAAATAAATCATACCTCCAAACTTTAATAATTTTTTGCAGATGTTTCAGCTAGATTAATACCATTACTTTTTCAAGTGTATCCTTAAAACTTTGTTGATTAAAGAATTTGGATGTTAAAATAATGCCTTTTTATATTCTTATTGTTTCAATAATTGTCACGTCAGCCCAAGTGTGCTAATTAATTTGTTGGTATAAAAAAAATGAATGAATGGAATACAAATATATGAATCTATATTTAAATTACTTGTTTCAATAAAGATTTCAATATGAAAGGATATTAAAAGTAATTAAACATGTTAAAGTATGTAAAGATAAATATAAAATGTTTAATATAATTTTAAACACATTAACATTTGTTTAAAAAGTGCCCTCGTGAGATACTGTCGTGACACAATTTGCCCTATTGATTCCTTGATTACCATGCCCTTTTTAGGGTCTAGATTTAACACTAATAATCCCATTGAGCTAGTAAACAAATGACCACAGGGGATTGAAAGGGAAACACCTTAATAGTGCCTGGAATTACTATCTTCTTAAACCTGTATCCCTATAGAGATTGGCTTGTGGGAATTTCTCTGCCATACTTTGAACAATCCATGAGCTTTTTAATCATGATCTATAAAGTAAAATACGAATGATTTTCAAAGCAGTACGAATCTTTTCATGTCAAATTTTCTTTCATAAAACATTGGGTGACTTAAAAAATCAGGGAATGTGTATGTCCTATGTTGTTCACACCCCAGTGTCACTACAGTGTTCGATTTTGGTAAAAAAAACAAACCATCAAGACTTGTAAAGGATCTAAAAAGTAGATACGAATTAATTTGAATCTCATAACATGTTATTTTTTTCTTAAAATATCAATCAGATAAAGGCTAGACTCCAAGAATCCTTATGTATCTCATAGTATGATTTTCTGAAAATCCGTGACCTCTGACCCCCCATTGTGTTTATAGGTAAATCTATTTGAGGTTGTTTTTTACCCTGATCATGATTCTTTTGAAATAAAAACTATATCGGCAGTGTCTTCCCTAGGTCCCTTTTCCCTAACCCACATGAGTTTTGGGGTTCACCCTCTAAAAAAGACTGAAAAGGTTTATTTTATACACTCGGGTCACTGGATTTCACCTCGTCGCTTCGAGGTTTTTTACTCATTTCTCCACGACGGATGCATGTCATGTATTAATTCTAGTATGAAAAGAAGCAGGAAACTTACCTTGTTTAGACCTGTATCATGCTGGAATCCTACTATGAACACCTACTAAATAATCCATGAAAGTGTATAGTTCCCAAAGTACAAAACACACACAATTTCAGTTCGCCATGAGATTTCGGCTCTCGCCATCGAGGTTTCTCCTTAGCAGAGGCTCTGTGCATAACACCAGTACGCTTGCCAGCAGCTCAGCGTCATTCTGTAAGTGTCTCCGTTTTTACGGTCCGAATCAGTAGGGCTCCCCAGAACCATTGGTACCTCTCACCGGGTAGACAGGGTCGGACCAAGGATTGCAACCCCTCATGGGCCAGACCAGTTGCAGACCTCCAGCTAGACCAGTGCTCTGTGTGCCTGGAAGAGGACCAGATGTCCAACTACATGTGTGCAGGTTGTAGGAACAGGCCGGCCTGTCTCCAGTGTTCCGAGGTGCTGGTCGCCCAGACAGATCCACCTTCCTGCTGTCCTCTATGTCGCCGGCGACGACGCTGGAACGTGGCCCCCCTCCGAGTGACAGCCTTACGAAGATCTTGGCTTAGAGGCAGGCCTCACAGGGAATAAACCCTGTCTAAAAAAAAAAAAATTACACAACGGCCGTTTTCACGGCCACCAAATGTTTAGAAAAGATGCTTACATATACAGAGGTAAATAAGAAACCTTTGTATGTCAAAAAAAAAGAGTACCTTATACAGTGGGTAAAAAAGAAAAGATTACCTTCTTATACAGTGGGTAAAAACAAGAAACATTGTGTATGTGTCTCTCAAGTTATAACACCAGGTCATTTTTTTAAAAACTTAGAATTTCTTTTTTAAACTTAAGAAAAAAAAAAAAAAAATAAAATATTAACTTCATAAATTTTTTTAAAAACTTTTAAATTTTTTAACTTATAAATTTTTTAAATTTTTAATAATAATAATAATAATAATAAACCCTTTTTTAAAATAAATTCACATCAAACACACATTTTTTAATTTTTTTTTCATCAAAAAACAATAACACATACATACACATACACTTAATGTGGATGAAGAATGTACACCTATTTTGTCATAAGTGTGGGGTATATTCAATATTTTTTTAAAAAAAAAAATATTCAGGTAAATCTACAATCTCTTGGAATTAATTCTTTGTTTCTCACTTCATATTTAAGAACCCCATATTCTTCATAGTTACCTTGTCTATAAAAGGTTCTTTCCAATTCTGGGGTACTGTGAGACATATCAAAACAGGTTAATTTATGAATCTTTTTGTAGATGTATCTCTCATGACACCTTTTTTTCATTTGAATGAATCCTCTCACATGATGAAGTTTTCCAGTTTCTGGATGCCTTTCTTTTTGTAAGATCAAGTATTGATAATCACTTCCAATGATTTGATCTACATCTTCCTGTCTGCACCCAGTTAAATCAAATATACAATTTTTGGCTATTCTAAATCTGTCTATTTTTAACTGAGCAATATAAAGATTACCTGTATTTTCTTTATGTTTGTTTTGATAATGAGTCTTAATATCTTCCAAGAGTTGAGTTTGAATTTCTTTCATTATTTTGTAAACTCTTCTCCTCTGTGGATTTTTAAAATCCCTGGGTCTTTTTATCAATCTTTTTTTTCTGACATCTCTTTTTTCTTATCATCTATAAACTTGACTTCTTCTCTAGTCAAAGGTCTTTCAGGGTAATTCAAGTTACCCTCACCCTCTATGGGTAAGAAATGGTTGTATTCTTCATTGGGTCTTTCTATGTAATCTCTGACAACATAAGGATCACTCTTTTCTGGACTTAATTGGTTATATTCTTCTTGAGAAATGATCTCAATAGTCCCATCATCATGTATTTGAATTGGTATATCTCTATCAATATCTTTCTCTGAAAGAACTCTCTTTTCAAACTGAATTTTACTCATTCCTTTACTCTTTTGCTTCCTAAAGGTGTTACCCATAGTTGAGACAACAACAGTACTGAGTGTTTTTTAATTTCACACCTTGAATTTATACCTTTCTGTGAAACTATCATGGGGAAAACAACCCAAATATTAAGAGGAATGTAAGAGTGATTTTTTGAAATATTTGTGATATGTATGTATATTGTGCATAAAATCCCATCCTAGTCTTTTAAGTCCCAAAAAACATGGTCATGACACAGTTTCTGATATTAAATGTCTTTTTTTTTCTGTTGTAAAAGAAAAATTTTCACTTCTCAAAGTAATTTTTTTTTTCTTCAGAAAACATGTTTTCTCAAACTCCATAACTCATTGAAAGCAATGAGGTAAATAACTATTACTTGTAAGTACAAACTCTTTTCATTTTTTTTTTTTCTGGTAGTTTTCCTTTTTTCTGGCAAAGTTTAAATGTGATTTTAGATAACATGTAACTTTAATTTGTCTAAAAGTTTAAAAATCATCTTTCATTTTTAACAATACAGAAAAGATGAGGGATACCATTGATCACTATACCTTAAAAAATGTCATTTAAATCATTTACATTTTATTTATCTCCCCATTCTATACTGAATACCCAACACCTGTTTTGTGTTTTGAAAAATAATCTATGGTTAAAGGGGGATAACCCTACTTTTCAAAAAGGCTGTTTTTGTTAACAGACAAAAAATCAAATGGATTTATTCAGGTTAAAAAAAAAAATTCATGGAATTTTTTCTCTGCTTTTTTTTTCTTTTTAATATCATTTAGCTTCTTACTTTTTTTTTCAGTTCTTGGTAATACTATAGAATAAAATCTGCATGAGTATGAACTCTCATCATATCCCATTGTTTTCCTGCAAGGGTTTTTTTCCACTTCATGTTTTGTTGTTGTTGTTTTTGTTTTTTCTCATAAAAAAGACAAAGTTTAACATGAAAATCAAAACATGCAACATTAAAAAATTTATATTATTTGGTAGAGTTAAAATAAATAATTTCCTGTCTCATCCCTCAAGCAAAAACAATATCAAAAAATTAAAATGTTTTTAATGTGAGTATAGATTCAAATTTCCTGGAATGATAACTTTGTACAGCTTAAAAATTTAAAAGATCAGGGTTTTTTTTTTTCATCTATTCAATGGTAATATACATGAATATTTCTGGTATGTCTTTTTTATTTTTTCAGAACTTTAAATTTATTAGAATACAAATAATATGGACACTCACATACTTTAAAGTGATGTTTTTAAAAAAAAAAAATAAAAAAAAAAAAAAAATAAAAATAAAAATAAAAATTAAAAAAAATAAATAAAAAAACGGATAGTCTTCTCTCTGTGATATACATGTTATGATTTTTTAGTTTAAAATTTCAAAGGTCTAGAAAAAAATTCTGAAGAGATGTCACTGAGGTTTTCAATTATAAAACACCACTGGCTTCTTCTGATCCTGGACAATATGTAGAAGGCTGTGTACATGTTTCCTTGACTGATGAACAGAATGTGCTATCTGAAAAAAAGAAAAATGTTTTCTTTCAAACAATATATATATTTTTTTTTTTTTTAAATTTCCAATGCTGTAAGGATGACTGCACAACATGAAAATACCAAATTCATTATCCCCATCTATAAATTTACCTCTGATAAAATAAATTTCCCTCTTCTAAAATTTCTTAACTTTCTCCAATTTACCTTCTATACTCCAAAATGGGGTGGTCAGGTTCAAACTTGGTATGGCCAGCTATTAATCATCTGTTAATCATCTGTTTATGGAGACCTAAAATTGAACAATAATATATTTAGATTGTAGTGTTAATATTTTTTTTTTCATTGCTTGCAGAAAAAAAAAAAAAAATCATCATTACTGTTAAAATATGATAATGTAAAGAACTGATATGAAAAGTTGGTCATACAGAATACCCTGTTAGTGTAGCAAAATCTATGTTTTAAAAAAACTGTAACATTTATCTTTTGCATTTATAAAGACATATTTTTGTAAAGAATTTTTCATTACTTTGAAAAAAGTAGTCTTATTGTATAATAGGGTTAACTTAAAATTTTGTAGACTTAAAAGTTGTACATGATGTGTTACACATCTTACATATGTAACCATTTCATTTCAGGGTATTCAGTATATATTATGGTTTTGTCTTAAATTTGTTTGTTCATGTAATCAATAATTTATGAGAGAATAAACAAGAAAATTAAACCTAATAAAAAATTAGTCTATAATGGGGTGAAATAATTTATAAGTAAATTCAGTCTATACATATAGAATTGGAAAAATCTATGTATTAAAGAAAGCAAATTCTAGGGCTGTGTATTGAGCCAAAGTTTATACAATTTTTTTTTTTTATACATAAGTGAATAGAATTGGAAAAATCTCTGTATTAAAGAAAGCAAATTCAGGGATGTGTATTGAGCCAAAGTTTTTTTACAATATTTTTTAAAGTGATATGCGATATATTGAATTCTAAAAAAGTCTATCAGAAGTGGCTTCTAAATCATTTTAATGCATAAATTTTATAATAATTAAGTGTTTTATTACTCATTCTAAAGTTCTTGTCTCATTGTCTTTACAAATAACACTTCAAACTAAAACTTTTTGATGACAGTAAAATCAACATGTTCAAATAAATTTCTCTGTGTATTTTGTAATAATTATAAAAACTGTGTTATTTCCTTACAAATCATTTAATTATTGAACAGTTTTAATTCAAAAAAAGTAAAATATAATCTTTGGTGATTGAAATTCCTATCTTTTTAACAAAATTAGAAGAAAACTGTCTCTCCGATAGGTATTGGAAGTTATTTTTCGATACGATATTTTTTTTTAATATCGATACGTATCGATATATCGATATATTGATACAGCCCTAGCAAATTCTACTAAAAACAGATTTTTTGCAAAACAAGTTAATACATGTTCATTTTACTTTGCTATCTTGAACATTAATCTCAAAGTCCTGGATATCTCAGTACATCTAGAATCAGTTTTTTTTTTTTTTCTCTCCAAAAAATTAAATGCTACCTGTGATAACTCTTCATAAATAATCCATACCACAGAGATGTGTTGTTTCTGTTCCTCAGTTAACCAAGCCTCAGTTATCCAAGTGAAATCCCCATCTTCACCCTAGTCATAGTACTTAAAAAATGCACCATGTAAACTATACACCTCCTCCCTTGCAATTTTTCTCTCCTTCATTTACCAATTAAAATGTCTTCTTTCCTGATATGAAAATGAAGTACAAGAAATGACTTGAAAATATTTTATTGACAAAAAAGTCATCAAGTTAACTTTTGTCTTCTCTTATTGTCATAATTTTTTACTAAATAATATTTTTGTCAATGTTCAAATCTGTATCAGTATTTAAGTAATTACCAATGGTTATTTATTTTGCTGTATTCTAATTTAACATTTTTATCTTTTAAAGACTGTTATTAACACCAATCAAAGTCTACATTCTCTTCACACATACAATATAAACCAAAAAAAAAAAAAACCTGAACATGATGAACTTTTGAAATCCTAGGAATCCTAAAGTAAAGTTAGCAGATCCAATGTACATGCTGGACATGATTGGTTTGTGTTGCTGGGCATAACTCCCAAGAATAATGGAACCTCCACAGACATACTGTTGATACCTAAAATTTTAGAGAAATATAACTACCCTATTATCTTAACTGTCTTTTGGTATAGCATTCCTCCAAAGATATGAGTGTGTAACCTTCCTATGGAAGTACACTGCATAAGTGATTGTCCTGACCTGTTTGTGTTCTGACACTTTGGTTTCTCTCTATACACCTATGTAAAAGACATCTTTTTTAAAATACATGGGTGGCATTATTGATATTGAAAGTACCTTTTGTGAATGAAGATTCATGCGCCAGCCTCCAAAGTATATTTAAACAGGAGAGAAGGTCCACCGCATTCCCCATGCACTCATAAGCAGATCTCTGGAGGGGGTCAGTAGAAACACTCAAGTAGTTTTCTTTCCCCTGTAAATATAATGTCAATATTAAATGAAAAATTCAGAATTCATAAGCACTTGGATAGAAAACTTGAAATCTTTACCAACTATGCTTTTAAGGAAGCTGAGGGTTAATAAATTAAACATCTGATATAACTTATTTCTTAGATATCTGTTAAGATATCTTCAGCTGTTAACTATCATTTGGCAAAGAAAAATTTCACACATTTTAGTTTCACAATTTGATCATTTTTGTAAATATATGGAGCTCTTCTTCTTCTTCTATAGGAGATCAATAGAGTTTAAACATAACCATGACCACCAAGCCCTCATAATTTCAAAAAAAGATCATATCATCTACTTATCAATTCAATTAATTTGAAAATATAATCAAGCATATATAAAAAAAAAAATATATATATATATAAAAATTAGGACTGGATATCTCATTGAAACTTTACCTTCAAGTTTGATTGTTTCTATGTTGGTTGACTAACTATGTATTTCCAAAGGAATTTGGGCAGACAGGCTGAACTTCATAGAGAATGGATTATAGATGGTTAGGAACAAAACATATCTTCCAGGTTGAGGACTGTATAGAAAATAAAATCATTTTGTTAATATGACAAGGAACTGCATGAAACATTGCATGTTCAAATACAATGCGAAAAAGTTCATGAAAATAGTTCATCATGTTATCTTTAGATAACAAAAGAAGCACAGTTACTGTATTAATATCACAAATACAAAATGATTATCAAATTAATCATTTAGACACTAAAAGACTTTTTATTAACAGCAGATTCAATTTTGGTTTAATACCTGTCAGTACAGCATACAAAAAGATATTAGCATATACAACATGTAGTCCTACATTTTCTGAAAAGCTCATTACCAAGAAACAAAAGTGAAAATGAAAATATATGTATGCCATATATACCACATATTTAGAATCAAAAACAAGGATAAACCTTTTGTAGATTCTTACTTTTTTTTTTTATTACATTCCTTATAGATCACAATTTAGTAAGTCTGAATTCCATGGGTAACAGCCATAATGAATTATGACATTATATCATAATTTATGCAAAAGGACTTATTAACAATATGAAGTTTCCTTAGTATATTTTAGACAAAATATATATAAGACTGTGCTTATATGAATGTTAGAGATATTAGATCACATAAGAATTACACAGTAATTAAATTAAACCATATAATCATGGTTAAATGCAAAGATGACATTCAAAGGAAATGTAAACAAAACAAAGACAAACTTACCAGAATTATTCAATTATATGCCCAATAAGTCTATCCATTAAATAATCCAGTGAAATAACATCTTAGCTGATCCTGAAAAAAAAAGCATACAATATTCAGTGATACACAAATTAACCTCATTTTACAAAGGAAGTAAAGCAACAATTGACAGACAAAAGGGACAGAAAAACATGTTTAAATGTAATGCAAAATAATATCTCTTATATATGGATACCTATACTCTAATCAATCATATTAAATGTCATTCGTAAAATGTATTTTTTTTTAAGACAGATTTTATTTGAGGATCGACTTTTTAAATGATAACATGAATAGCACGCCATACTTTAACCACATGTCAAAACCATTTTCTCAAATTACACAGAAATGGATTATTTAGCATAGCTGACATTAAACATATAGGTGAGCGATAACATAATCACAATCATAAACAATGTGAAACAACTTTAAAAGACCTACAGGGTAAATTACAAGCCTTTTTCACTGGGGTAAAATCTTGCGGAGATTCATCATGGCGGCCTTATTTACATAGAAAATTAAGTCGTACTTGAACACATTCACTCAACATTGGAGAAGAGATTAGTAAGAGTTCTGGGAATTCACCTTTTATTCTGCGTGAATATTTAAGATGAATAGAATGTGTTTAGTTTAAAAGGTATGGATATTTACTTTATTGGAATTTGGGAAAGTCTATATGTGTGGTTTTTATTGAAATATATCAGTTTACATTTAAAAAAAATAAAACACATTTTATTTTTTATGTTTTATTATTTTTTGAATGATTTACAGTGTTTGTGTAATCTTCTTAATATTTATCTAAAATTACTGCTTTTAATACAGTCAAATATAATTTGTGATGATCAAAATTTCCAAATTGCCTGACCTGTACATATTTAAAGTTTCAATATCATACACTCTTAAATATCCATAAATATCAAAATATAATGATTCAGCATTGGCTATCATCCATACACTTGTTAACCTAAGGAAGGCTCTTATCATAAGTTAAACTCATGAAATTCCTCATGCAATTTTGAAGAATCTCTGTTATAAGGGATGGTAAAGACAAAAGAAGAAAAAAAGTATGGTGTAAAGTTAGCCTCACCCAACACCCAAGGGTAGAGGGGAGGGAAGGGGGTTGAATCCCTTTCTTTTTGTCCAAGGAAAACCTGTATTTTAAAGTTTAAAAATGATAAAATTGAATTCAATTAATAAAATTAATTTTTTTTCTAAAAGTTTCTTTTTTAAATTTGAACATTTAAATTTTTTCCTTTTGATTACCAGGCTGTCTAATAGGTGAACTGCATAAAACTGAATGCATTTTTTATGGCAAAGCATTAATAATGGAATAATATATATAAACCTCAGCCATACATAAACAGGAGTGAAACTGAAAAGCCATGCAGGTTTGCATTCTTAATCTTATTTTTGTTTACTATCCCGTACGAAATTTAAGTCACGTATTTTTTAAAAAATCCAGGCGTATTTTAATCTAAAAATCCTTGTGGAAATCTCTATTGAAATGAATATATAAAACCAGGCGTATAATGTAAAATACAGGCGTACATGAGGCGTAATCCTCCCGTATTTTTGGCCGAAATATGCAAATGAGTACGCCTGGAAATTCAAAATACGTCTGGAAATTTTAAAAATAGAATTACGCCTAGATTTCAAGCATACCCTTAAAAATACGCCTGCAAAATAAATACGCCCGTATAAAAGAATACGCCCGTACAAAAAAATACGCCTGTACAAAAAATACGCCTGCTTTAAATAGATTTGAATTAAATATTAATTATATTACAGCAATGGGAGCTACAACTATAGCATGAATATAAATGTACAATCAACTTCAGTACAAAGATTTTTGACTACATATGCTAAAAAAGATTAGACAAATTAAGCTAAGCATACATCACTTTTATTTTCTTAATATTTTTCAGAGTGATAAAATGTGAATGAGATTCATTAGTAAAGGATTGTCATTAAAATTTAAAAAATCATAATCTTACATTTACTTTTTCAAAGCACAGTTACATGTTAGAATATATTAACTGTTTCACAGCATTTTAATATCCAAGGCTGAGTTTTATAGTAAACAGTTGAAACATTCCAATAATCACAGTGAATCACAGTTTTGAGAATCATGCCGAGTACTCCTGCCATTCTTTTTACTCCTAAATTGGCATAAAAGATGCAAATCACGAGCAGTTCTGTCATTCACGTTTCACATCACATTTCCCAATCACATTTTCATAGATTGAAATATTCACAAAAAGAAGTTTGAATGCTTTATAACTGGCATTGCAAACAGTCATCTTCCTGATGCAATCTTCCAATGGCTACAGTTCACTGGCATTATTGCATTTATGGAAAGCTATGCTGCTGGTCAGCTCTTAATATTGCAAGATCTTTTCTCCTCCTCTTATGACCATTTCATCATTCAATCAATTTTCCTACTGTGATAAGGATTTAGGTGTAAATCATTTTCTGGAAAAAGAATAATTTATGTAATTCAAAATACTACTGACCCAATTTTCAATCATTAACATCTGGCTCTGCAAATCAAAAGCAAATGCAGCTGTCTTTTATTTTCATAGATAAAAAGTTTCAATGTTAAGCTATGTTTTCAAAATATTTACCTCTTCTACACCATCTGTGCTTTGTTGTGGCTTTCTCTAATCTCATTGTTCTTGGCATGACCTGCCTAGTGGTTTAAAATTGGCGCAAATACTTGGATGCAGATGCTGTTATTTACAACCCCCTAGTTAGCTAAACTCTTTTATGATTTCTGGAAGTTCTACTCAGTACAATTTGTAATTTTGAAGAAAAATGCTGTTTTGTTTACAGCTAGAACATAAAAATAAAATTCCATCAATGTATAAACAAGGTGTATTCATTACATGAATTAAAAAGATACTAGGGTGGGAAATAGAACTGCTGTACACAAACCGGATATAAATTGATAAGCCGTTCTTAGGTTTACAACATCACAGATAAGTCGTTCCTAAACATGCTCAACACATCTGTAAGTAATTAGCACAATCCCAGCAGGTTAGGCTAGGGAAGTGAAAGTTGATGGTAATGTAACAGAGTATCTAAATATACCAAATATAAATCATTTTATAAGAAAAACATTTAATTGTAATAACATGTATGTTTATAGCCTGACTAAACAATTAATCATGCATGAAGTTCAAAAAATATACTATCTACTTTACACTTATAGAAATCATTTGTGTTAAGAAAAATAATATCAATTTTTTGAAAAAAAATGGGAATGACAAAATTTTAGGTCCATGGGATAATGTTCTAAAAAAAAAGTTCTAAAAGAAAAAATCAGTTTAATTTATGAAAAATAATTGCTTTGATATTTAATACAACAAACTAAATGCAATATTGTAATGTATACAATCATGCAATACTTTGGGTTTTTTTTGTTTAAGTTATATGATATAATAAAAATGTTTCTTATGCAACTCAATACTTTAAAAAAAAGAGAATGAGTTGATAAGTTTTTTTTGGCTAAGTTGAAAAATCCACCCGAATTTTAAAAAATACGCCTTTTGAAATTTTCTAAGTTTTAATTTCCTTGTGCCAAAGAGACTAAGTAGAAAATACGCCCGGATTTAGAATTTATGGAAAAAAGGAGACGTATTTCTGGCAAAAATACGTGTACGCCTGAAAATGAACCGTATTTTTAAGAATTCATGTACGCCAGGATTTGCAAAAAATCCAGGCGTAATACGTCTTAATTTCGTACGGGATATGTTTGACTTGTACCACATGTGGGTTTTTTTTGTCCAATTGAATAAATAAATAAAAAGAGGGGGGTATCCTCTCCTTAAGTTTTCTGTAACCACTAGCACAATCTCAATAAAAACAGCACCTTTTAGAAAAAACTTATGGCTTTTTTTCCTGTTGTATGTTAGACAGACTTATTTTCTTTGAACTGTGTTCATGTGAAATTGAATCCTTTTGACCTTATACCTTAAAATTGAAGAAGTAAAAAATTATACCTGTTTAAATTGATCAGTGAGATACTTTAGCAACAAAAATAAAGGACCTGTGACCCTTTGTATTTATAACAACACTTTTTAAAAATTCAAACATTTTATTCAATGATTTACACTTCTATTTCTTCTTCGTCTTCTGATGATCGGTCCTCAATCACTCGAGTCAACAAATGTCCTTTCTTTTCCACCGAGTCTTTAATCTGGGCAAAAGGAATGCGACAATACACGTACTCTGTAGGACAATAATGAGGTGGAAACGTCAGTCCTTTTTTCTCCATCTTGATATAATATTTCAGACAATCTCCAATGTCCGAGTACCATGAACTTTCATTCTGAATGGTGTTGATGGGTGTCAGACAATTCCTTTGAGTACAGGTAACCCATTTGTATTGCTGATAATGTTGGTTGATTTTCACCCTCACTCTAGATCCTGTAAGAGGTGGGATTTTCACTCTTTTTTCTAACCACACATTCTCCAGGGAATAGCCTGGATGATTTTCATAGAAATCCATGATGGCTCCTATTTTAGTTTTCATCCATCCTCCTTGCATGTACATGAACTGTGTGAAGGGACTCTCACAATACCAACGATAGTGCATCTTTGAAAGAAAACAAAAACACGTCTGACTTGATCCGTGTCCTTTTTTCAAAATTGGGTACAATGAGTGCAGGGTACTCCCAGCTCCGCTTTATATACCTTTACTGTTGCATCATCTTTTTATAGCTGTTGCATCATCTTTTTGATACCTGTTGCATCATCTTTATATATCTATTGCATCATCTTTTTGATATCTATTGCATCATCTTTTTTTATACCTGTTGCATCATATGTATATAGGAAAAAATAACAACACTAGAATTTTTGGTTTTTTTTCTTTTTTATTTTATTGATTCATAACAAGAACAAGAACATCATTATAATAACAAACATTCAAAACTTTTCTTCAGTTCTTTTTGTATGGGAAAA